TGCATCAGTGCTTTTAGCTTCTTAACGAGTTTACCCTTTGCATGTACTGTAGTCTCCTTACTGACAACTAATTTCTTTAGTACAAGAGGTTCTGATTCCCGATTCTGTTGTTTTTCAAGTAACAAAAGTCTGCATATCTGGATTCTCTGGTGCATACTGCAGATCAGAGGGGTGACAGAGCCCTGCTGCCAGCAGGGTGTTGGACTGACAGCCTATCCATACCAGTAGTGTCAGCCTGAAGTCCAGGCCCAGGGAGCCCTCCTGTGTGCTGCTGTGCCTCCTCAGCCCCCTGATGCTGAGAACAGGCTCTGCAGTGCCGTTTCTCTGTGTGTCATAGATCCGCATTTATGTGGGCATTTGTGATTTGACAACACTGCCATTCAGGATGCATACATATGAAATAGAATATTAGACAAAACAAGCATAATTGGTACATTTATATTCAATTATTTGGGTTTTTTTCTGTAGAACAGAATTTTAAAGAGTGGTTTCATGAAAGAAAGAAGATTAAGATTTAAAATATATAGTATGGATCATTTTACAAAGTCTGCTAGAGAAAGCAGTAACTTTAAAATCAGGCAGAGTTGTGTATGACATTTTCATGGATAAGTGGGAGGGATCAGCATTTCCACAGACCTTGATTTGAAATCATTAGACTGCTGAATCAGTTTCTAAATAATTTGCTGTGACTGGAAAGCTGGATAAAATTACTGCATTTCCGAAGTCTTGGAAAAAAATATGTGCTCTACAAGACTGGCAAAGGAGGTTACGGTGATCAGTGTCCACATGTTTTAATTCTCTGAGGTCATTTCTGTATGCTCATCTCCTCTTTTTGGTCTGAAACTTCATTTCCCTTTCACAGCTGTGAATTCTCTGGTGGGCCCTGCAGATGGATTTGATAAATGCTGCTAATATCACCTCCTGATCTGCCAGTGCTCTGACTTTGGTCTGTAGGTCTTGATGAGTAATTGCCGTTGTTCTACTCCAATGACTGAATTAAGTTGCACTGTTTAAAGGGGTTCATACGTGTGTGATTTTAGCCAAGGTGGTCCATTGCAGTGCACCAGTGGACTTTTAGTGGTGCCTCTCTGCTTTAAAGTGAAGCAAGCAGAATTACCTTGATTTCTGCAACTACCTAAACTCTGTTATAACCCTTTGATTACTGTCAAGCTACATGATGTTGAAATTTAGTATTTTATGCATCCTTTTCTCCTTCACCCTGGCACATAAATGCACATTACAGCGCTGCCAAGAGAAGGGAGGGGAAAGTAAAACTCCCTTCAGCAGGTTGTACAAACAGCACAGCACCCTGGAAAACCAGCAGTCCTGGTAATTCCCTGAAGAGCCAATGGGCACTGCAAACGGCACAGGCATCACCCCTAAACACCTGTAATTCTCCTCAAATTAAATAGGAAATATCCTTTACTGCAAATGCAGTCATTCCCACACACGCTGCCCGGATTCCCTGCAGCGTGGGGTCACAGGGGCTCACAGGCACTACCAGCTATAGACATACTACTCGTAGGGGTGGCTGGTATTTTCATTTGGAAGGTGTTAATCAAACATTCATGTTGGGCTGGTCACTGGACATTGCAGAGATCTTGAGATAACATCAGCAACTCCATGTTGCAACAGGTAAAACAGACCACGTGTCATCCTCGCACTCATTTAGGTATAAACACGTTGGTGAAACTGAGTTGAGGGGAAAAAGCAATCTTCTGAACTGCCTGTCACATATAATTCTGGAATGAACCAGGAGACAGTTCTGGAATGAGCATCTTAAAATCTCTGTGTAATTGCTCAAATTACCCCAATGTGTCACGTGACTCCTTAAAGATTTGGTCCTTAAGGATGATCTTGTAATAAGTAAATTAAATAAGAACAATGTATTGATTTTTAGCCTTCAAACTTAATTTCTTTGTCATTTTTAAGGCATTTAGAGTGACAGACGTACTCATGTTCACTGTTAACAGCAATGGCACTATTCACAGTGCTGCTTGGGGTACAGTATGGAAATGAGTGAGCTGAAAATTGCCATGAACGGAGTATGTTGGGTTTTTTAAAAACAAATGTTAGATGTTTTAAAAGCAAAGACATTATCCTGTGAAAACCTGACTGTTCCTCAGTATCGCCTCACCAATATTAATTTTCATTCATTTTCTGTCACGCCAGGTTGCTCCAGACACCCGTGTCCCTGTCCTAAAGCAGACACAGTTCACTGATGTCCATGTCAGGCTGTGCCTTCTCTTACCAAAGTTGAGTTGAGTGACAGTGACATTTGTTTGTGACAAGACCTAGTGAACACCTTGGGTTTTCACCAAAAATCATGCATTTTGAGGTTTATGGGAACCCAAGTGCTTTTCGTACCAAAAAATAGTAGTTAAAACATGCCCTTATACTGAAAACATAACTGGAGTTTTCTCAAAATGCACAGTTCAGGTTTTCATCATCTCTCCCCTTGGTCTCCTCACCAATGCTGCCAAGTAAACACAGAGAGGTTGTGAGGGGGTCCCACTGCGCAGCCCTGAGCACAGATAACCTGTCCTTGCCCTGTAAGAGTGAGCAGGTGTGTGTCTGCTCACTTTGTGCACGTGTTTGGACAGAAGGTTACAGATTCTGCAACGCAGTCACTTAACAGCTAGGAAAAAATTATTTGTTGAAGTACATAATTACTTAATATATAGCAGGAAATAAAAGTTTTTGCAAATAATGCAGTGAAAACACTTGACTGTTTTACATGGGAGGATGAATTCTCCACCACGAGCATTCCCTAAATACTTCCAGGCACCTGGTTGGGCTTTGGCTGTGTTACTTCAGGTTGAAGCTGTCCCTTTACCTGGTGAAACCTGGGGAACTGACAGAGCACAACACACAATACTGTCTTGTCCCTGTTATCTGTCCACAGTGTCAGTAACTCATCTGCATAGCACAGGCACGGCTACACACAACAGCAGCAAATAAACACAGCAGAAACTTCCCTGGATAATAATGCACGTCCGAATGCTTTGTCCTCCAAACCCCGGGCTCCACTGAGTTTGCAAATATCATCCCAGCAAGAACAATCTGAATGTATAAAATTTTGAAAGTGTGAATTGGTGTGAGAGGACAATGCATCTATTGAAGGTCGCCAGCCCTCGGGATGCCCATGAGTAATTTATACCATTGTGTTCTGTGGAGCATTGTTCTTTCACTCAGTCCTCCAGTTTAACACTTCAGAAATAGCCCTTTTTCCTGATGCCTTCCCTTCCCTGCCCTGAGCTGTTTACTTGGAGCAGAAGGAAACACGTATTTGCACCATATTAATAGACACATATTTCCAATAGTAGTTTTAACTGGGGATGGCAGCTTGTTTTCCAGTCCCAGATATCCTTAAGGTGGAGACACGTGGAGCACGAAAGGGGTGGTAACATTTGTTTCCGTAGCCACTGTGCATGTGTTGTGGCCATACATCTGCCTATGCATACTGAAATACAGGATCACAGCCTGCAAACGTGCGTGGTAATGAAAACATTCATTTTTTACTGAAGTGCATTGAGAGTGCTTCAGTGAGAATAGTGAGTGCCTGAACCACCCAACTTTTTTAAGATTGAGTATATTATTAGATACGTCCTGTAAGTTTCTATTTTATCTATCTATTTATCCAAACATTTTGAATTCTCAGGCTTTTGGTCGGGCATTGAAACGTGTACAAACTGCCCACAGTTATTGGTATCACAGGATGTTTTCCAGGGCCACCATCACGGAGTTTGGTGTTGGAGGCACTAAAGTAGGGCAGGCTGCCCGTCCCGTGGCATCCTTGTGCAAAGGTACCTGGTTACAGCTCAAGGAGAGGCTGGGAGAGCTGGGTGGGCCATAGAGAGGAGCTAATCAGCAGTGCAGGTGGTTCAGGTAGCTGCTTTTCACACAGATAATTAATGTGTACAAGTAGCTGCTAATTGCACGTTTCAGGAATGATTTATGAGGTGGCAGAGGGGAAAGGGGGACACAATCTCATTTCTTTGGGAACCTCTGCCATTCATACAATGGTATCAGCACAGCTGTGAGATGGGACATGATTAATGAACAGTGGGCAAACATGGGACAGCACTGTGACGCCCGTCAGGACAGAAAGTGGCCCTCGGAGCCAGGGCAGCACCGTGCCATGATGAGCATTTGTCTTTAGCTCACTAATTCCCTGGGATGCCGGGCTGCACCCCAGCCAGGCTCGGGAGTAAGGTCGTTTGTGTCCATCAGAACAATTATGGGTTTAATGGGGACGATTATCATTGAGTTGCTGTGAGCAGGTTTTTGTTTATGAACAAAGATTGTGGATATTTATTCTCTCTGTAGAGGTCCAGGGGAAAACAAATGTGGCAAGGACTAATATTTATGCAGGACATTAAATCTAGACTTATGAACATCTCTGTTAAACACCTGTTCCTGGCACTCTGTCTCAGCTGCTGCCTGGGAACACCTTTACCTCCTGTCACATCCCTCTGTGTCTGTCTGCCCTGCACCTCCGGAATACGTGTGTGGGACACCCCTTGTCTGCTTGGGAAGAGTAATGTGCACATCCTTGCTTTCATTGTACCTCCTTATCTGAGCTAAAGACAATACAAAGTAAAATCACACATTTTGCTGACATTCTCATGGGCTGATTAGAACATCAGTTTGCTGTATTTTTTAATGCTAGTCTGGTTTGTCTCTGAAAAGGTTGATAATGAAATTTGAAGAGTTACACCTTGCAGTGTAAGTGCACATGCAGGTCAGCACTGTGAAGAGACTGTTACATGTTTCACTGATAGGAAAATGAATGTTTTGAACACTTTTCTCAATGCACTGTTTATGCATCAAAATAGTCCAGAGTGTTTTGGACTGTGTTCTAAAAACTATTCTATGAGGGCTGTACCTCAAGCTGTGTAATCAAAGTCTCTGTTTATTTCCTTTTATATAATGTAGTATTTTTAAAGTGCTGCAGTTCAGCATTAAAGAGTAACTGCCTTTATTTCTATCTTTTATAGCTTTTAGAATTTGACAGAGAGCTGTCAGTCTTTAAAGACAGATTGTATGAACTGGACATCTCATTTCCTCCCAGGTAAGATTCATATATAATCTATTTATTTAACTAGCTAAACCGTAATAGTTACTTCTGCTGTAGGTGAAATGTGAGTGTTTCCATACTTACTGCAGAAATTATGATGGTCAGTGTTCCTTTCATGGATGTTCCTTCACCCACACCCCCTCCATCGCTCCGTGAACCGCGTGCCAGTGGAGCTCTGGAGCTCATTGTCCTGGTCCCACTGATCCTGTCCTTTATAGCTGCTCTCAAAACAGACCTGGTGGGATTGTGTGCTCAGAGATGTGTGCAGACTTTTAAGCACTGGGCCCAGACCACCTGTTCAGTTACTTCATTGCAGCCATAAAGACAGTCTCTGCCTGAAGCTGTCTGATGGTTGTGAGCAGCGGCACCACTCGTGGAGGTGGCAGAGCCCGGGGCCGTCACGCGGAGAGATCCGAGAGGGGGATGAGGAAAGAGGACAGGAACTTAGATTCTGCTTCTTCAGTTTCAGTAAACATTATGTAACTGCTAAGACTGTTAAAACAACTTGGCTGGTTTAATACACGTGCATGATTTTAGTCAGCTGCATCCCGGAGGTGAATTTTAACCGTGACTAGACAAGGATTGCTATCGTACAAACACAAACTTTTTGCAAGGGGCAGTCCTCGTCAGGGAAAACCTGTGGAAAATTTGGTGCCATTTTAAACATGTGTGATCCCTTCCCAAGAATGAAGAAATCAAATCTCACAGTTGCTTTAAAGGGAAAGGAATACTGCATTCACAAAGAAAAAGTTGAAGAAATTATAGAAAAAAGACAGATAAACCCGTGCTTTTTATATGCTTCTTTTTTTATAGATACAGTATTTTTAAATGTTACTATTTTACCCTTTATTGACAGATAGAAAAGTATAATGTTTTGGCATACACTAGGAAAAAATTTGGAAAGCTTGCCTTTTGGTGATCATAATCTCATTACTTCTCAGCAGCCAGCTGTGATACTGATTGTATTGATCCCTTGGGACAGTGGGAGTATGCACAGAGAGGTTACCACCGCTCTAAATTGTCCTTATTGATTGAGGATGGTAACAGGAGACCAGCAGTGTGTACATCTGAGTGTGTCCCACTCGTCCTGTACCTGCTCAGGGAAAAGGAGGTGAGGGGCAGTGATAAGATTTTTTTATCAGACCAACTCTTATACTTGATTTCTCCAACATTAGTGCTTTCAGCCAGAGAAAGGCTTAGCAAACATATGCTGTTGCATGAATAGTTTGCAGATTCTTCAGCCCACTCTGTAAGTGCAGTTCAGTGTCATGCAAAGATCAGAAGCTTGGTGTGAGTACTCTCTGTGTGTCTTAGTCCTACTCACTCTGTTTCCTTCTTAACAACTGGGTAATATAATAATAAATAGTAATAAATTTTTATATGCTGAAAGCTGACATGGAAGGGATGCTGACACTGAGTTTATGTAACACAAAATTTCTTCAAACTTAAGCAGAGAATATTGATAAAATACGAGAATTGAATATGAGAATATTGGAAAAAAATACAATATATGAAACCAACAGGCTAAACTCATGCATTTGCAAAGAGCAAGCTGGATTTACATCATGGGGCTTTTTTCACCCATCCCTCCTCATGTCCTGTGTCATGTGCCCAGGGCTTCCTGATGCCCCTCCCCTGGTCTTTGCTATGCCCCAGGCTCAGGAAGTGAGTGAGGTGCTGCTGAGCTGCAGGAGTTACTGCAGGTCAGTGAGATCATTTTATTGATACAACCAAACACATTGATTTTCCCCAAAGAAATAATATGATTCATTTTTCTTTGTATTGAAATAATGACCACAGTGTGCTATTAACTGCAAAACCAGGTATTTTGAATGGGCAGAAAGCAATGGTTTTAAAGTAGGACATTTTCTTATTAACTTGGAACCTTTTCACTCATGAAAGAAAGGAATTAAATATATGGCCCTAAATGTCTTGGTTTCACTGCCAGTAGTTTTTCCTCCATTTTTCCTTTGTTTTTCTTTCCTGTAGCTTATGATGATTGAGTTACTTTTGTATACTGTTTGTAAATTTTTATCTACAGGAGTTCTGTGTATTTTGGTTTCTTGTTATTCTTAGCTAGAAAGTGTGTGGTGTATCCATTTGTTCTACAAATGCATCAAACAAGGGCTTTGTCACCAAAGGGAGGGAGAGAGAAAGCCCTGGTCACTTTTGTGTCAGGCTTAGGGGCTTAGTTAGCAAGCACTGGAATTTAGAAGGAAGTTGTAAGCAATTGTAATTACAGCCTTTAAGTAGTATTTCAGAATTTGATATTTTAATTGTGGTCCATTGATTTAGTCTGTGAATCACGCTCTGCTTCTGTTCTTGATCTTTGGTGTTCCAGACTTACATCATGGGATGCAGACAGAGTACCTCAGTTAAAATGCTACTGGACAGGTCTAGTCCTGCCTTTCACAGCTCCCAGAAAAAGGAAAGGGCAGTCAGGACAGTCTTCTCTTTCTTTCATTTGCTTTATCATTTGTGCATACAGTTAATTGCCTGATTTGTATGTAGAGTTCTACAAATCGATAGCACAGTTGCATTTCTGTCTTACTTGTACCTTTTTCCTTCAAAAGGGATGCTGGAAATTCAGTGTACTCTTGAGATAGATGGAAAAGGTCACGGCCCTTTGAGTCGCAGCAGACTAAGTTACTTATAAATTCATTTTTTATCAGCATAAGCTGCTTATTCTCTGGACTTTATCATGAGATCTTGCTGATACACTGCCGTAGCTGGCCTGGGGTTGAAAGAGTCAGTGGTATTTTTGTAGTTAACATCAGTGGGGCCAAAATTTTCCCCTAGGCAGTTTTAGGGGTTTGTTTTCAACACTCCTGCTAGAGTGGCCTGACACCATGATCTGGTTCCTCAGGTGTAAGTAGAGCCAGGTAGAAACAGGCTGCCCTGAAGTGACCCTGTTTGACCTCTCTGCCCTGCCTGGCACCCAGGGCAGCATGATATCCCAGACCTACCTGCATACCCAGTGCCCATTGTTAATCAGGGGCTTTGTGCCCAGGGAAAACCAGTGACTCTTGCATATTCCCTGTTCTCATTTGAAATTATGGAAGGATTTCTTCTGTTCTACTAATCTGCATGGAGAGGACTTTCTTTGCATTTCTGTCTTAATTGTGTGATGTTAATATATCTGCACCTTTTACAGTTAATTTCTCTGTCCATTTTTCTTAATTTCAAATGAAGCCATGGCAGGCATATAGACATATATCTTTATACTGATACGTTTTTTTAAGGAAGTCACTGTACTAAAGAACTGCTAAACTGCTTTAATACATTGATAAAAAACTCCCATATTCATAAATGTTTGGGAAGCTGACAATCTGTGAGCCAGTACAGGAGCAATAGGGAAGAGTTACCACTCTTGCTGTCTGGGATTTAGGGAAAATAATAAAGAAGAGATTAGTAAGTGAGAAAAACAAAAGGCGGTTTTTTATGTGCTTTCCTGTAAAATACACTGTCTAAAGTATGAAAAAATGCAAACTCGTTTTAAAAAAGCTCAAGATTGTTCTTACCTTTTTATTTAGGAACCTAAAACTCTGAAGCTGTCAGCCCTTCTCATTTCTAGGTTTTCGTGACACCAAGTCAGCATTTCAGTGTAGGTAGTGATAGAAATGTTGACTTCCTGGAGTGATTTTCTCACTATAAAATTCCATAATGAAATGATGGGTTGTAATATCCTGCTGGACTTTTGTTCTTCACTGTATTTATAGCTCTTGGTTTCATTTTGCTCTTCAAAGTTCATGTGCAGAGTGCTACGTGCTGTCCTGCAGTTTGTTACCTGATCTTCTCAACTCGCTGTAAACCACATCCAGTGACCAGGGAGAGCACTTAACTCTTATCACCTGTTAGAGAAAACATCTCAGGATCTTCTCATCGCAGGTCTTGGCAAAAAAATAGATCTCTGCATATTCCCAGCTACTACATTATGTTTTAATGCCAGCTTTTAAAAACTGAACTTCATATAAAGCTTTTCTTATTTTCTTTCTACTCCCTGTGCTAATGGTTTCTAAAAGTAAAATTCTGATGTTGTAGAAAGCGTAAAAAATTTTACTTTTTAATTCTGTAGAGAATGGAGACTCTGTACTGAGCCAAGAATACTTCACAATATTTTTGGTACACTGCTGAATTCTTGCTTGTCTCTAAGCAGTAGTACAGATAATTCTGTAAGTAATCGAACTACCCAAGGCCTCTCCTGTCATTGCTGCATTTGCCAAGTCCAGCCAGCCATGGAGGAAACAGGAACATCCCCAAACAGCTCTTCTCAGTTGGCATTTGGAAGAGAACTACCAAGTTACTGCAAACCTTCCGTGCTGTGTGGTGTTCTGAGTGAGGACACCCCTCGTTTAAACCCTCTGCAGGAAGGTGTGTTACTCTGACTGTCCCTTGGGAAAGGCTGATAAAACACTGCAACTGAGTCAGTACAACCTCGTAGACCTGGCTTAAATCACTAAAAGCCAGGGCAGTCAATTCTGTATTTAGAAAAGCTGTTTTTCAAGACTTTACGAGTTTGTAATGACTATTACATTTATTGTGGGCTGAAACTTGACATGAGAGGTTTCAAAACAAAAAATAAAGAGACCTGCTTCCCATTGGTTCAGGGCAGGATCACAGAAGAAGAGCCCCCTGCCCAGGCTGTTGCAGGGGGATTTTCCTACCCCTGTAGCATATCTGCCTTGGGTTACTCGTTCTGAGTGCAGCAGGCATGAGGTCAAAAGGACAAGTACAGAAGGAGAGGATGCTGTCAGGGCCAGCCACCCGCCTGTATGGGCAGGAGGGAGCTGAGTTGTGCTGTCAGAGTTCCTTCTGCAGTTCACAGGACAAAATGTGAAAAAACCTCTAGGAATGGAGACCAGAGCCTTGGCAGGAGTGATGAAATGGCAGGCAAATGCTGATTTTGGCCTTAGTTTAATTTAAATTAAATCGAGGCTGTTTGTTTTTATTTAGCAATTAATCCACTATTTGTCTTCTTTTTTTTGCCCTTTTGA